CGGGCGGACCCGAGCCCTGAGCGTGGTTTACGTCTTCACCGAGGAGTTGGAAAAGCCGCTGCCCCTCCTGTGCCTGCAGGAAGCCTGCCGGGAGGTCCCGGGCACGGAGCTGGTCACGGTGCCCCTTGGCACCCTGATGCTGGGGGACACGGACACGCTGGACCGTTTCTATAACGCAGGTGAGTCGCTCGCTCCGCGCTACTTGCCCCGGTCGATTGGGATCGCGCGCTAAGCTCTGCCTGGCGGGGCTTTGATTTGGCCAGGGGTCCCCTCTAAGTGGGTTCATGCAACCCCCTAAACCATAACCCAGGCTTTCTCCGCCCATCCTGTGCGTTGGACTTCGACTGCCAACTTGGAGACGGTGGGTTTGTTTGTTTGTTTGTTTGTTTGTTTGTTTATAGTTCAAATTTGGACACCGCCCATCCCACTAATTGTAGTGGCTGGATTTACACAAGCTTAAGGTGTACACCCAACCAGTTGATTTACTTCACCAAGAACTGGTTGGGGTGGGAGAAATGCAGGTTAAAAGCTGGGTCTACTTTAAAGCTAAGGCATAATGTGGCAGGCTTGGTTTTGTCTGAGGGTTTTATGTGAATCCAGCAAGTTGCGTAAACCTAATGGTTTTATTGAAAACCTGGTTAAACACGCAGGCTTAATGTATTGTGTAGATCCAGCCAGAATGTTTCCTGCAATTTCCTGAACTTGTTGCAAGTCTGACTCTATTCGTTTCGGACTCAGTAAAATCAGAGCTTTCTTTTCAAATATGGGAATTAAATTAGCTTAGTAAAGGTAGAAAAGCAATTCTACCTGTTACTTGGTGAACATTCCTGTGTACATAGTGAGTTTTTACAGAAACTTTGCAGTTGCAGCAGTCTGGAGAAAATTCATTTAAGTAGATCAGAGGCCGGAGAGTTCTTTTTCAGATGCCTGAAAAAGCTTTCAGATTGCATCAAGAATTTCAGTTTTTTAGAAGCTGTTCAGTCTTATACGGTATTGCAATTGCTGCAGCTTTTTAAAATTATTATTAAATTACTTTGAGCCAATGGAAAATTAATGTACAAGTCCTTGAACACATAAAGAAGCGTGCCATTAGATTGTATTTATTTATTCCAAGGTGTATGGCGACTCTGGGCAGTGAACAGAATTTAAAATGAAATCGGCAATAGAAATAATTACAACATATGATCACAAGGAAGTAAAGAACAAATAAGTAAAGCAATTGTTTTGGTGTTGATATTGGAGGATATGTTATTCCAGACTTTTGTTAATGAAATCTAAACTAATTATTCTGTAATCCAACTATAAGATAGAATGAATTGAGTGAATATCATGTAGAAAACAAGCCATTGAATGCTGTTAGTGCATCTCATTCAATGGGTTTTCGAGTTCAGG